TAGTGATGAAGGAGAGCAGAATTATTTACGAGCACGAGCGCGGTCAGCAAAAATACATGCAGTTCCGATTAATGACTGCCGTCCCAACAAGGAACAACTGAGCGGCTCTCCGTCAGAGGGCAGCTAGCTAGTGAGGCGGTCCAACTGAGCAGGCGTTAGAACTAGAACTTTGTTCTAGCTCGCTCCTCGCTCGCTGAGGAGTCGCGAGAGTGAGATAGTATCTAGCTTGGGGGCTGAACTACCTGCCCAAGGAAGGACGACCATGTACTACTTGAGCGCGGGGGCTGTCTTTAAAGTTCGGCAACATCACAAAGTGATAGAGGGATATAAGGGATAAAGGGATATAGCCAATGTGAAACTAGAAAACCTTGAAAAGTCAACAACCGGGAAAATTTTTCCCAAGCGGCAAATTTCCTCAAAGTCACATACGACCACTCTCCCAACAACGACCACATACGACCTCCATGTGTTTCACACAACGCTGCTGTACCCTGTAGATGAAAACTGTAGGTGTCAATGACACTTACAGTTTTCTCGTCGCTCGCGCTGGTGTACGCTCAAAATGATCAAGACGTTGCCGTACGCTGACGCAAAGTATGGACGTAAGCTTAGGGTTGAAGCGATAGCGACATAGCGACAATCACGTATGAATTTTCCATGCGCGGTGAAGCGAAGGCGATGAACAGTCGCCCGCTGAAGAGCTGTTGCACTGGTAGATTCAGTTCCACCCATGCAATCAAGCCAGAAACTATGTACCTGGAGACGAAACAGAGTCCCGTAGATACTAGCTGACTTTGTAGATACTGAGGATGATAACCTAGGAAGTCGAATAAGGATTGTTTAGTTTCTCCCTCTATTGTTCTGTTTTGCTGGGTTTTGCATTCGCATCGTTTGTGAGATTATTGAAAGAACTCCGGATTACTCAGTGAGACATCAAGTTTTAAAATTAAATGAATATGCTCAGCGAAGCACAAGATTATGTGCATTGCAGCTGAATAATTGAATTAGCGATTTCAATACACCTTGCTCTAATGACTTTAATGGCATAAGCTTTAGCTGCACTAGTAGCGATCGAAGACCTCATCACATTCACTTACTGACAACTGTGTTTGGAAGCTTCGCAAGCATCGTCAGGGATCGTCCACCGACTGTAACCCTTAATTGAGCTCCAGCTGAGGTTTCGGGTTTTTTCCCTTTCGTCGGGCTATATGAGTTTTAGTTTTGTATGAGATAGAGCAGGTTGAGGGGTTAATGCTCATTAGAGTGGCGGTGTTTCGAGGTCGACCACCCAGTGAAAGTGAGGTACAGTCTTGTTTGCTGCAGATGATGGGGCACGTCAAGGAGAGATGAGTTTGGCAAGCGCCCACCCATTTTTTCTTTTTTTTGGCAATTATAAGACTGTATCATATAGTTCGTATGAGTCGTTTCCCACCACGCGCTTGTTATTGCCTACCCGCTTCAACTACTGGTAGAGAACTTGCCAACTCCAGCCTCAATGACACACCCTTTCACCCGCAGCGTAGAAGACTGTAAGCCTTGCAGCTTTCCGGTTTACGGAAATCTAGTGATGGTTCACTAGTCTGGTGGGACTGTCTGCAGGATTATTTGTGCTCTTCACTCTTCAGATGTTCTTGTATGACAGAGGAAAAGCAGGGGAGATTCAGGCCAGTGCTGCTGCACACAACTGGTCCCTGTCGACGGAGCCCGACACATTTCATCTAGGGCAAGTCGTCCGGAAATCCCCGTATGAGCGCAATCCCATTGAGGTTAGAAGACTGCCCGGGGCTTCATCGTTTTGCAGTTGGCTTCAATTGTCTTCAAAGAACCACAGGCGATACTCGAACCCCTACCTCACGCATGCCGGTCAAGGGCGCTATCCATTGCGCCGAACCGGACTGCTCTTACCCTTTCAGCTCAATCCGTGGCTTTTATGTCTTGAATAGCGCACTCGCCCGGTAAGCGTAAGACACGGATTCGAGTCCCTCTGGTGCCTGACTTTCGCCCATAACTTAGCATTCTTTTGATAATTTTCAAAACGCGGACTGTGGCGTCAAATGGCAGTTATCATAACAAGGAGGTGTTTTCCTAAGTGGCCTGATGATTACTGGTCTTTCATGTTGACGACGGCATAATAAGGGGATCATTACTTGCTGTAGACATTCCGTCTAGACAATGACACCTTTGGAAAATAGTTTCCATATTGCAATTTTTTTCTCCGCAGAGTTCTCATGGGCCTGGTCGGTCAGCTTACCCTTGTTTGACTACCGCTGTTTAACCGTGGAGCATTCTCAATTGACCACAACGATTCCTTCAGGCACTCCGCCCATTCGTCTGCATCTCATAGAACTTCCCGTTCACAGCCTTTTTTCGCGGCCCATACGTCACAAAGTGCATTTCAATAAACATAGTGTTGGCCTTTGAAAAATTCAATCTACGCTGGCCAGGCGGGGTTGATTAGCTTGGGCTGGATCACGTCCCAAGGACGATTCCAGTGCAAGCAGGGGTCTCTATAAAATGCGCCCCACGGTGTGAAGATATTTTCATGAAAAACATCCCTTGTCAGAAAGCGAAAGTGTGCACAAATGGATCGATCCACGAGAACTCTTCGAGTGAAGTCGTCTCGTAGGCCTCTTCTCCATGGGCTTTTCCTTGGCTTTCACAATATTTTGGGTGCTCCCGCAAACGATTCTCAAACCAATTTGCTATCGACTTCAGGGCCAGATCGTCATTTCTGGCCAGCTTTTGCTTATAAGTGAGTGGGAGTTTCTTCATGTGAACACCGCCTTCGCACTTTACTGAATGGGGATCTTTTGGTCAGTGTATACGGGAGTTGGGTGAGTAGTGGCGGAGCCCCCCTCTCCGATGTCACGCGGTCGCTTACACATGAGCAAGTGCAATGGCAAGAAACTGAAAAAGTGACACATTTTTAAGAAAGAAAAGAAAAAATTCTATAGAGCAGTATCTGTCCTGAAACTGCCAATCTGGTTTGAATGCAGAAAAAAGTAAGGGAAAGAAAGCCACCCCTAGAGGAACAGATAGATTTCACATGCACGACTGAGTTATTCAATTTTTTTATCTCAAAAAAAACAAACAGCAAAAAGGAGATCACATGGTTAAACCACAAAGTCGTTGAGTTGAAGCGTTATTGATTGATATTGACAATGGTTAAGTCGATATCAAATTTAAAGGCTATAAATGATGATAATCTGATGAAGAGAGCATTGGCGTAAAATGTGTACTAAAATCCTTCTCATCGACTGAACCTTTTGGCGGAGCAAATCGTATCACAAAGAAGAGGTCCTGCAATGAATTATCGATCAGTTTGGATTTTTTAAAAAAATTAATTACATGGAAATCTGCAGTCTCTGCGCGAAGCGGTGCTCTATGGAGGACTATAGCTGCTTGCCTTGCTTACAGAAAGAATATTGAAGAACCACTCCCACTTCGTTTGAGGGGGTTTCGGCACAATATGGGAAGCACGTCCTGATGTTGGAGAACATTCTACACTACTTACCATTTAGTTCCCTAATTCCAAAATCTACCGGGTTTTTTTTCTGCAAGAGCGGGTTTGGCTGAAAATGTTCTCTGGGCGTTTGACCTCTTTAACAAGAGTATCACATCCGCTGGATTAAGGAGCGTCTTATCCCCACACCACAAGCGACGGCGTCAAAATACCCTAGGTTTTTCAAAAATGACTGGAAACTTGTGCCCAGCGGTAGAATGACCTCCTGGACACGAATATCACATCTGCATGGGACGTTTATGCAGTTAAAGGCAGTTGGCACGATGATTTGGTACTCGGCCTAAAATGCTAGTAGGGCGCTGTATAGTGGGGAAATGGCGAAAGAACGGAGTGAAACGGTCAAAATCCTGCGAAGAAAAAGCCTCCGTTCTCAGTGACTTGTAAATCGATTTCGGACGAGTTTCCCGTAGGCATCTTACCAATCACCGCTACCGAAGATACGGCTGCATATGTGTACCCATGTATGCATGCAGCATCACGGCCGCTTCATACCAATCCCTTCGCTTCATAATTTGCTTAGCAAATGAATGAATACGAGCGTCAGGAACGGTCGTCCATTTGTGGGCGGGCGGGCGTGGCGGGCGTTTGGGACGTAAAGTTGTGGCTTGATAGGGCCCTTATAAGGGCACCTTCCTCGGGGAAACCGCTATGCAGCGCCTGCCCAGGGTCGCGGAATTCTATCCTGCCCCTAATCGTCTTAGGGGATTTATCGTGCCAACTGCCTTTAAGCTTGGAGGACAGAGTACACTAACAGGGCAAGTTGCTGCGCTTGCCTGCACCGTTTAAAAAGATAGTAATCCCTTCCTCTGAAGAGCATTATCCCAGTGAACGTGCTAGGAGGATGAGCCTTAGCAAAGAGAAGGATCTTTATAGCAGGCTAGGGCTACTGTCTTGTCTGGCCGTTCTCTGACTGCCCCACCGCACCATCTTTCACGAAATGTAACCAGAAGTCCGCGCTACACGCGCCGGGGTTGGAACAAATATGTGATGCCGTCACCTGTATGAGATCCGTTGAAGATACTGTCCTGAACGAACGATATTCGTGTTCAGGAGGGGAAAGTACCTCTAGGAACAATTTTCCAGTCAAATGTGCCCAGGAGAAAAAATTAGGTGAAGAAACTAGCCTGATTTTAGGGGATCGAGGCAGTGGAGGGCGTGCATGACCAAATGCAGAATGACGACACGCCCTCTTCAAAGTTCGTTGAGGGGAGGAAAAGAAACCGCCTCATTCGATCAACTAATCACTGCGGTGGTTGAGCTTGCCGCACAACCGGACTAGGGAGTGCCACTAGCCACAAAAACAAATTGGGGGCTAAATACAACCTCTCGCGTGGTGGAGAACCCAAGCAAAGCTGCGACGTGTCCTGATGGGAACGTGAAGCGCTATATGGATGAGAAAAGCCTATCGGAACAAAGACCGAAAATCAGAATAGATTGACCACTTGTTGAAAATAGTTACGCGCAGTTCGGCTTAGTGGGGGGGGGGGGCATTTTGCTGGTTCCAAACAATAACTGCTTATGCCTCCCGGAAGCTGTACGTTCCTGTAAGCCTATGCAACAGCAGGAGCTACGCCCAAAGCTGACAATGCTGTCTAGGTTTCACCAAGGTAAGACGGGATTCTAGTAAAAGATACTGGCGAAACTCCATGCTCAACAAGCCCCTCCCAAAACCGAACATCGCCAGAACTTTCTAAGTTTGAACAAGCACTTACTGACCAGTTACTCCAACTCACCTTGAATCCTCTAGTAAATATAAAACAAATGATAGGCGTTACTAGTGCATTAATATTCATCAGCAAATTTGACAAGTCGACCAACCATACCAATTCCAATGGATCAACGAGCCCACCAGCCGTTATCCTTGAAATCAGAAAGTTACGGTAAGGTGCATAGGTTACTGTAGCCATCATTCTGATAAGCTCACATGAACAGCCTGATCGATACGGAAAGTGTAGTGCATAGGAAGAAAAATACGAAAACGCAAACGGTCATCAACGCTGTGCGATACTCAGCTGAACGTCGTGACGCTTGCACATGGAGCTGAAATTGTAAACAAATAGATAAACAAGTATACTATGTAGACTCCGCTGCAGCTGGGATATGTCAGCTGGGCTTGGCTCGGCGCCAGCTCGACTTCTATGTTGTCGTTTGCTCGTTTCAACAATAGGGGAGAACGGGCAAGCGCGGTCCACACCAACCCCTCCACTGGCAAGCCTCAGCTTTTGCAGGGAGAACGGCGGCAGTGAGACCCACCAAGTATCTACATCCACGCAAACATGGGTGCTTTCAAACGATAAAGCTCGGCCCAGCTCACGGCAAAAGGCACAGTCCACGCTAATCATATGGCCATGAGCATAAGCTGGGCCAGCTCGTGTCATCTTTGTTCATGCGCCCATCCTCTGTGAAGTCTTAGGAGCCCCATATTCGGGGCAATCTCTTTTTGACAGAATTCTTACTCCACCACAGAAATTTGGTGACAACTTCCGGGCATGGAAGGCTTGCCGGCCTAAGTAGAACTGATCCCATGAACAACGCGAAACGTGGAGGTGAAGCAAGACTCTTACTTACTGCGCTACGCAAAAACCTTGAAATTCCATTAGAACTCGATAACTAACCTGTTCACCGCGTATTAGATGTATAATGTTCAGATTTAACCACAATAGAAGGCATATAGGAAGGCCATAGACAATTAAGCCGTAGACGATTCCCTCCTGTATCACTTTGTACAGTAAATCATCCCTGAAACAGATTAATGCACTCGCCACAAATGTGGTTTTCAGGTAAGAAGATCATTGTTCGTTGGGGGGGGGGGGGAGAGGAGAGAGGCAGAGATTACTTACAGGTCTCCGCTGGCTGTTGATCTGTGCCGTACCTTCGGGAGAATCCCATTGGAGCAGTGCCGCATTTGATTGTTGAGGAGGAGAAGGGTCATAACGGAGGAGAAAATTCGGGAGGAGGCGCGCCTAACCATCGCTTCTGCTCTCCCGATGGATGTACCCTGTACTCTGCTCCCAGGAGGCATCGGCAATGATTGATGGACACCAGCAGGATGCATCCACCAAGCCGAACTACAGAAGAATATACGTCAGAGGAACCGCGGCGGTGATTGGAGTTATGCTCCCCAGTTATTTCAGTTACATAAAAAATAATCGAAGCATTATCAATCTTGCGAAAATCGGAAATTTCATGCCAATTTTGACCAGCAGTTGAGCCTCCAGATTCTCAACGCCCATCCAAGCCGTCTGCATGGCTTTACAGCTCGAAGAGGTTGGATATCACTGTATTTTGAGCTGCTCCATGGAAGCGAAACTATATTAACACATTCGAGGCGAAGGCCATTTCGCCCAGAACTCACGTTCGTTGTTGTTTTTGGCTTATTTTTACAATTTTTTCTTCGTACTGATGTGTTAATTGTGTAAATGTATGCTAGTAGAATATAATCAGTCGCAAAAAGAACAAAAAAATATGCGCGTGTTTTCGCAGAACTGTACGAATGACCGAAAACAGGGGTTTACTCCCGCGAGTACACGCCGCCTCGAACGTGTTAATAAGAAACGGAGCACCTATATTCACCTCTCCTCAGGGTACAGCATCGTTGTGTGAAACACATAGGAGGGTCGTACTTTTCCGGCTGGGGAGGAGGGGTCGTATTTGGTTGTTGTTGGAGGGAGGGGTCGTATGTGGCTTTGAGAGAAAATTGCCCGTTGGGGAAAAATTTTCCCGACTGTTGACTTTTCACGTGATTTTCCCAGTTTCATGTGTACTATATTCCCCCCCCCCCTTTCTCCCGCCCTACTGGCTCGACGGAAAAAATCCGAGACTCTCATTCAGGTAGGCGGGGGGGAGGGTCGTACTGACACCCTCCCTCGAGGGTGGGGTCGTGCCTACACCGCCATTCCACACTTCACGATGCTGTACCCTGCCTCTCCTTACCCTCATATAAACGGCTGTGAGGATCCCGACAGAAAACAATAGTGGGCAGGTAGATGCGCAGGAACGACGGCCCGGCGGCCCTAGCCTCTAGTCTTCTCTGACATGAAATCAGCAGGATCAGAAAAGGCGATTATTTGAGCAGGGCTTGTTTTGGTCTTCGAACGATGCTTTCATCTTTCCTTTAGTTTCAGGTAGCTGGCCACCCACACTCATACTCGAACCCCACTATCAACGAACACTACTCCATCACTACTAAATGGTGAATGGTGACGGTCAACTGACTGAATGGAATGGATAAACCTCAATCCCGGTTTTTCCCCCAAAAATAAATGAGGGCGTCACTGAGTTCAATTAGATGTTGTATCCAAACCCGTCAGTCATAAAGTTATAATGAATGCTTGAACTTTACGCGTAACCCGATCTAACGTTCCACCGTGTATCGGCAATGCATTTCATAATCCAGAAACGAATCACATTCAAGCCTGTGTCAAAAAGAGCACTAAATTCTTTCCTGAAGATGCGGCAAACGTTTAGCCTGAGGGTAAAGGATTCACCTAAAGCTGGCCAGCCACCACTACAAGTTCACTGCTCCTTGCTCTCCGTCACACGTAAGTCGAAGTTCCATGGATTGGAAGGGATGCCAGATGGCTGAAATTCCTGTTTTTTTTAAGCTTGAACCCTCTTTGAAGGAATTTCCCAGCTGTACTCCGTTTCTCAGTGGAAAAACGGCTCATGATTCGGGACCGACCTGGAATCTCTGAGCACAAATGAGCGTGAGTAACCAAATGGCGGCATAGTTAGCAGCTAGCATCAATGGATAACCCAGCCGTACCGTAATCGCGTTCACTCGATGCAAATTTGCCGCTTCTCGCGGAAAGTCTGTGCCGATAAACTGAAATTACAATTTGAAAGAAGCAAAGTATAAAATTAAAGGTGATGTGATCATCCTGAACAATGTAAGGAATGTGATATGTAATGGTCTGCTAACGACACGTGCCGGTCCTCAGAAGGCATAAGTCCGTGACACCCCCCAAAGAAGTCCGCACCGGAGATGCAAGTTCTTCTTCCCCTAGGACAGACGCGGGACGTGTGGGAATACTCGCTTTAGGCTCAGTCAAAATTCTTTATTTGTCGTCTTCATGTGAGGAAAAACCAGCAGCTGATGCGTCCTTATGTTCACTTCTATAGGAACCTCCCCTGCCGCTAGATAAGAGGCTACGCTATCTCTTCGCCAACGTGGTAATAGCTGTCAGCTGAATCCTCCCAAGCTGGTATCTCACTATCCATATAACAGGGGATGTAAAACCTTCGATTACCTCAAGTCCGAGTGTAGGTTGTGGAGTATGATTCGGTTCTCCGAAACAGAATTCCTTGAGCCCTAAGGGGATAATTAAATCTCCGATCTCCTAGCACTTCAATCGGTTTAAATTCCAGCGTCAAATAGTCGTAGGGATTATAATGGCCGCCTGTGGAAGTTTACCTATACTGTCACAAACCGGTCTATCTGTGAGAATAATATGTGTGGGGCTAAAAAAATATTCTAGGCGGTTTCAATGCCATTGTGCTTCTCGTACAAGGTATGAATAAAGGCAGAAACATTCAAGCAAATTCTCTAGTCTCCTAATCTCAATACTCTTTTGTTCGATTTGCCTCATTGTCCCCAAGAATGTGCGTCGCCTTCAGCTCTTCATCGTCAGAAAAACGGTTTCCACGAAGATATTTTTAGGTTGGGGAACAAGAAGTAATCACTAATCATTTTCTCGATTTTCTTTTCTTTTCTTAATTTTTTAATCAGTAATCATTTTCTCAACATTGTCGCATCAGTCATTCTGGTCTTCTTTCACCAAGGATAACTAGAATAGCATTGATGATAACTAAATGAAATTTTGTATTTATACCCTCAGGGAATGTCGTTACCTATTGAAATGACTTATATTCCTTCCACTGCTAAATTACCGCAATGAATACTTCAAACGGCCCTCGTCTTCTAACGAAAACGTGTCTTGATCAACTTGTCTACCTAGTAGGAACATCTCGATTAGTCCGAAGTAAGCCCACTGCTATCTGAGGCTGTTTCTCTGACGCACCTCGGGTGTTTCTCAATAATAATGAACAAATATGGCGCTGTTCTTCTTGGAGGGGCATTTTGCACATTCGCTAGTTCCTTTTGTTGGCCATGTTAATGAACAGGTCTAACTTTAGTCTGTTAATCCTTGTGGAGCTTTGGAATGGTACAAGTGAGCCGCTTTTGCAAGAGGGATTTACAGGCTTAGCTGAGCAATGTTCGATGCTCACCACTGCGCCCGAGAATGTTTCACTAAAGATGTTCGGGAAGAAAAGGGCAACTGGCCGTCGGAAGAAACATTCGTAACTGGCCTGCGCTCTTTGGAGCTATTGAGGGATCACTACGACAGCGCTATTTTGGTGGGAGGATGCACACGAACAGGAAGGCACAGGTGGTCCACATTACCTGCTTACTCCCCCTCCCCCCAGCGCACCTACTAAATATACTTGAAATCCCTTAGATAAGGTAGACCGTAACTGCGTACTTCAACTGAACGTGACAGTGGCTTTGCTTTTGGGAAGATACTTCCATTGAAACAAGTCTGGTCATGTCCCTGTCCAACACTGAACAAGATGACAGTTGTCTCGAATTAAAATATTTCACGAGAGACCCATTGTGCCCACCATTTCAGGGATCAGGAGTGTACCTGAGGGTCCAAACAAGCCTTTTGACTGAGATGAGCGAAATATGACAATTGCTGATGTCATGTTTTTTCAAACTGTTTAACGAGTTTGTTATAAACTTTTTATCGGCAGACGTTCCCGCGGATTTGCCTTCTTCGGAGCCTGGAAGGGTCAAGTCGAACCATAGTATCTGAACTTGAGATAGCTGAGATAGCTCTCGTGTAATTCTGCTGTTTCGACCCAATCTCAGCTGTACGAAAATATGCTACGAGTGAAATACACCGGTAACCACAACCGGATCCACCAGAACAACGACAGCCATCTTGGTGAAAGAAGTTGTCCGCAACTAGAGTTCTATCAGAATCTCGGTTAATGCCAATACTCTATATATCATAGCTTAATCTCGTATAATTGATAGACAATCTCCCCTTCCCGATTCATTCTTGCGACTGCCTGGACCTGAGTCAAGGATGCTTCGAGAGGATTTCGCGCGAGCGAAAGTTGGCTGTTCGCTCTCTAAACCTCTACCGTGATCACAGAATCGTCTCCGTTGTGGTCTCAAACCCTGTGACATCCTAATGCAGTTGATACGCGCAGTCTGCATTTTCCATTCAGATGCTTCTTAATCTGCACATGGAGTGGTCTAGCCTTTTCAGCAATGTATTCGTCTCCACAAATTTGACAGGAGATCTTGTAGACCCCACCTGCTACTGTGCAGTCTCCTTGCAGTCTGCCAGCAGGGCAAGCTACACAGTCTGGAGTTCCACATATGCTACGTAGAGGCGGTTTCGAAGTAGGCGATTTTCTAGGTTGTTAGGAGAATTTCCACTAAACCAACAATGTTCTGTAGACCCGATCTCCTCAGGCATTTCTTTATGGAAGTGCTTACTTCATTGGGGAATCCCTTTATAACAATTGTAATTCTGGAGAAGAAATCGAACATAAAAGGGCACAGAAATAGTTGAGGGACTGCACTGTGGTGCCATAATCTTTCCCTCTCAACTCGAGATATCCGCTTAGAAGACGACCAGAGCCTCTCAATGCAGAAATGGACGGGCCACCGTTGAACCCCTTCCCCAGCTAGCTACCGTTTGACTCCCTTCCCCAACTATTTTCACACTCATGAAAATATATTAATGAATCGAAAACCAAAGTAGAAACGGTCTGGTGAAAAATGAATGGATTATGCGATCACTCCGGTAATAGCCTGGAAATGGAAGCGAAATAGGAGAAAGGATTTCTGTTCAAAAACTATAATCATTTCCCATTTGGTCCGTTTTCCATTATCGACTTCAGATTGGATTACGGTAACAAAAAATGTCTGTATGAAGTCACGAACCTGTTCCATAGCCGGTAAAACAATGACGAAAATCGACAAAATGAGCTGTAAAGCGTTACAGATCGACAAAGCGACGAGGTAAAATAAGAGACTTGTTTTTCGAAAATATCCATGACTTGAGACACTAAAAAATTCTACTTGCTTGTCATACCAGCCGATAAAAGCTGCTGGACAACTGTCACAGATCGTGACATATGTACGTACCTGAGGAACACAGCGATACAAGCGCAATTGAGCAGGAATCCGATCGAACATAACAACGGCTCCACATAGACTACCAGAACACAGCTGAAAATATTCTGGTGCTATTTTCGTGCGCTTTATGACTTTGGCAGCCCACTAACAAACCTGGCGTTATTGAGCCATTCAGCCCAGCTAAAGTCGTCTAGGACTGAAACAGTGACTGGCTCCTCTATTGGGTCACTAATCACTTCAATAGTTTCCATTTATGGCAAGTGACTGGTGGTGGCACATTAGCGATAATGCCGATAGTGAAGGCGAAATTCTGATGGTTTATTTGCAATAATGGATATAATGAATAAAGGACTGTCCGACAAACGAACCGACAAGAGCGAACAACTATCACTAGAGACTGTTACATCGTAGGAATGTGGAGAAACTTCTGCTTACTCAGGACTCCCCCCCGCTCCATTGTGATAACATACCCCGCTCCCACAGGACGCCTCTCATCCGCTCTAGAACGGGGCCGCAGAAACATCTTGCTCACTGCGGATGATGACGGGTCGTGTGAGAGGTTCACGAGGCCCTCGTCAACAACGCCTCTCGCGGTGGGGATGTGACAAAGAATCGTAATTCGCCCCGTGCTGCGAGGGCTGTCGCTGTGCGAGCGTCGCGCCCGAAAAATGACGATGTTATAAGTGACGCCAAAATAAGCAATTCAGAACAGAAAAGTTAGATCATGAATTGCACGATAAAGCGGATCTGCAAATATACCGGTGCTCAATCACGAGCTTAACATTGGCTTAAGCGAAGCCCGCGCCATCGCCGCCGCGCGCGAGCGCGCAAATTTAGCGATTCCTTGCGGCACTGCGCCGATCGTACATATGTATTTGTTATAGCATCACCGGCCCCAGCAATTGAAAGCGAAGCAATGCCAAAAGAGGAAGGAATTGGACAAAGGCAAGTAGAAAGAAGCTTAGAAAGAGAAAGGGAAAAAGGAATTCCCAAGTGTGAATATAGTCGAGTGAAGTATGAGGTGGCTGTTGCGGACGGCCTGCAACCCGTCGTGGTAAACGACGACTATGAGCGGAAAACGACTGATTCGAGCGATAGATGCAGTCTTGTCGCTTGACGAAAGAAAAAAAAGAAACGGACTGGCGCTGAGCCAAATCCATATCCCTTACGCGCCCCACCATCCGCAGAGAACAAAGCTGTAGGTTGTACCGGGTAGGGAAGATAGAACAGGCCTCCCATCCGCTCAGGCAGGGCTAACTACCAAATGAAGGGAGAGCTACACCGTGTTTCGAAACTTACACGACCCTTGAAAGGCACTGCAGTTTCGTTCTTTGATGAAGACAGTGCAGCTTTTTTTCTGTTTATTTTTGTTTGGTTCCCAATTCTGAGAGCTAAGGGCATCTCTGAACCCAGCTATTCACGGTAAGTACATATAAAGGTTTCATCCTTGCCACCCAGCTCATTGAACTCGGCGTCTTTTGAAATTTGAAGTCTTCCTTCCCGAAAACAACGTGAGCTAATCATTCCAGTAAGAAAATCAGAAAAAATGAAAAAAGGATTGACGACGTTTAAGAAGAATCACGGACCCTTCGACGGCGAGGGACCACCGTGAGGAGGAGCGGCCCCATAGAGTGGGAAGCATAATAGGCATAATTCAATGATTTGCTAGGCTTGAGTCATTTTTCTGGCAAGGAGCTCGTTTAGACGGCTGAATAGATAACACAGCTTTTTCTAGAGATTCCTGAAGAGATTCACTGGTCTTTAGTCTTGAGGGGCTTCAACAGGGGCTCCCATGTGGTCTGTGTTGCAGTTTTTCAAAATCGCTGGGCTTCTTTCCGCATTTTCAATTGTCCCTGACTCGAAAGATTATCAGAATAATCCAGTATAATCTGCTTAAACTTTTGGATGAAGATCGTCGAAGGAATCTCGCCTTCATCGACGAATGCGTTTCATATTCAAGTCTTTTCCCGATGGCAGAGCCTCAAATAATGGCTCGATGCCAACGAAATCAAAATCTGTGCATGGATCACCTGATTCTTTTATTCTTCTGAATCTTCTTTTCCCCAAAATACTGGGATCCCCGTAGAATTGCTAACACCGCCAGGAAAGCGGAACTATGTTGTGCTGGTAATGAGCGACAACTATCTACTATTTATCTATGACTATTCTCATCCAGCACCATCCCAAGAGCTTCTGGGAGGTACGTCTAGATCGTCAGAGTCCTTGTTGAAGATGCAATGTGGCTTTTCAATTGTGGCGGCGGCAGGATGAATATAGAAGGAAGAAGGAATTTTGGCGGCGGCAGTTCGGCGCAAGGGCGGGGCTTTCGTAGACATCTCAGCAACTTCCCACAGAGTGTGTCAGCCATCTAAAGAGCTATTTTATGAGCTTCCAAGAGTTGGTAGGTTTCACCATGGTGGCTCGACGAGTTTATTCCAGTTTCACCAGAATTTACAGATTTACCAGAGTGAGACTAGTAAACCGGAGCAAACTATCGCGGTAGTTAGCCGAAGTGCAAAACCAATGCTCTCCCCATGGCCGAATCGCCCTTAACTTTCAACTCCTCCCAACGGGTTTGCTCCTCGGTAGTAAGCTCAGGTCGCTGATGCGTGATATGACCATGAACTTGTTATCGGAAGGGATAAAAAATTGTCACTCGCTCGAAAAACCCTGCCTGAGCTACCCGCATACCCGTGAAAAGGGGGAGGTTAGTTTACAAGGGCCATTCTTGAGGAACCTGCAAAATCGGCTTCATCTGACAAATTTTTGGCCAGGCTTTACAGGGAATTACAGGTTCCACTAAGGGAAGCCTGTTGGCTAAACGAACGAAAGAACACAAGCAGAAGTGCAATTGGCCGCCTTTAAGCGGTAACAGAGGTTCCTGGTACAACACGCCGCCCCCCGCCCCGGTCTCAATAGGCACGCAGTGTTGCAATAGATTTTATAAGGAAACCTGAAATGTCTAAATCTTCAGCCTAAGACAGCTGTTTTTCGGAGTGTCGGTTGTACGTCTGAGAGTGCAGTCCGCGGGCGCGCAGTTATATCAATCTAGCAACAGCCTGAAATCATAAAAGCAATATATTTGCTTGACCTATGCGGAATGCTATCCCATCTTACCTTCAATCAACATACCAGATAACCGCCTTGCGCAGCCCCAGTGCGGATGACGTCGCTAGTAATGGAAGGATTTAGACGACAACGCAATCTGTCATTATATTGTAGAGAGGCATTCTAGGTCTAATAAAAAAGTCCTATTAACTAGACAGCTCAAATCGATATCACATGAAAAACATGAGGAAGAAACAAAAAAATTCGGCGACTAGGGAACACCGCGCTCATGTGAAGGGATGAGGACCGGCGAATGTCTAACAACTGCCAGAAGTGTCCCCAAAGAAAATATGCGGTGGATTAAGCGATCAGTCATCCGACAGCGATACGCTTCTAGATAACGCACTTTTATATTAGAAAACTTCTCGAATTGCAAGAGGAAAATGTCTGGGCAACACGCCTTCTCTTACAATTCTTACAGTGCCTAACTATCTTGTTAGGTGCGAACACTTTTAACAACGCTTTTTATTCGAAACCCCAATAGCCAAAAAGCGACAGGAGGACGGAAAAAGTCACTAGACCGGACAGGCCCCCGAAGGATTTCCTACCGCTCATATCTGTGGGCAAAAGGGAGCGTATTTGTAAGAGCGGCGATGTCTGAGAGGGTCCAGAAGGAAGAGGGACATAAATTCCCAAACAAATGTGAACATTGATGTATAGCATAACATATATGCGAGAAATAAGGAGAAAATGTTCCCATATCTATCGAATAAATTCGAGGAGAAGGTTGGGCAGGGACAAATATGGTATCACGCGCAGGCTCCGGGTCGCGACTTAAAGGCAGACTTCGCGATGAGCCAGCGAATGTTTTGATGAAGGTGGCATGGTTGAGAAGCAGAATTGTATGTGCTAACTGACTCGATCGAAAAAAAGGAAAGGAAACCGTCGAAAAGGCCTCAAACAAGGCCCTACTCGACCCATGCGAGAGGCAAGCAATCAATGTGGATATAGGGAGAGAGGCCAGAGAAAACAGCGAGAGAGAGCATGCAAACGAAAGAGAGCCTGAATAAGAAAGCGTGAACATCTATAAAGCTGGGCGGAGTTACTTGAGTAACCTTGCGCCTTATCGTCGATACTTTGCCGCTTTCTGACGTAAAACTTATACAGGGTTGTTCGCTGAAGCTCACACTACCTGCTTAGACGAAGTGTTTAGCCAAATATAAGTGGTCTGCCTTTACCTCCTACCCAGGTAGACCAAACCATCTACACACCTGGACAGCATATTGCTACCGTAATCGTCTGGGAAGATTAAAACGTCTACTTGTGCTGGCCCAGCAATTTATTGTATAGGCCATATCGCTTTCAATAAGACACTACGATTCTGAATGGAAAAGACGCTGTCACAAAAGGGATCAACTGGTGCCGAAAGCTCCATCCTTTTACCAACTAATCTTACCCACATGAGGATTAAAAGCGATGGCTCGTGCAAGACATAAGAAAAACACTTGCAAAGGCTCCCTCATAGTGACAAAGCAGTTTTGTAGGGAGTTGTACAGAAACGGACAGCGAACTTAAGAAAGAGCCCGTGAGAGCGGTGCCCAACATTCGAGTCGGCGCGTTGCGCGCAAATTAGCAGAATATTTCATAGCTTTTTGGGTGGCGCACTGCTCAACTGAAAAAAATTAGATTCTGGTGCGATTGTCGCGCACGTCACACTGCTTGGAAACACCTCCTTTGGCACCATCTTCGGAGAATGTAGTAGGCCAAATCTTACTCAGAGTAAATCGATAGAACCAAAAAAGAAAGTAAGACGGAAGCTACGA